TTCACTTTTATGCCGAGTATTTCGGATAAAGTATCGTATTATATATCAATAAGAATTCAAGTCTTTTGTATATTTGTTCCCAGACTTCCAGAGAGAGAGAGAGAGAGAGAGAGAGAGAGAGACGTCTGCGAAGGAGGCTAATACTGACTAAATGCACATAGAAGTACCATGCTTTTGTCCATTTAGTACTTTAATCGGTACATTTCATTTATTACAATTATTCTTCTCACTAAATGTTTGATTTTGAGGAGCATGTTTTCTTATGTTCCTTCCAATGCTTCTTTTGGCAATCCCTATAAAAAGATATAAACAATACTACTTTCAGGACAACYATCTGGAGAGAAGGTTAGAAAGGTAGAAATGTTAAAAGATCTAAAAGTCATGTTTGCTGACAATCATTGACCATATGAAAAACGAGCAGACGACTGGGAATGAGCACATTAAGCGCTCCATATATTTAACATCTGTTTTCACCATATGAAGGAGTATATCTCAACTAGTAAATTGGCAGAGTTTTAGTTTCAAATGTTGAATCTTGTTGAATATATCAGCAGAGCTACAAGCATTTGAAATGTAACAAAAACGTGAAAACGAGGCTAGTCAGGCCTCCATACTCATTTTCACTCAAATCTTTGCAACTTCAAACACCTGTAATATCTGGTCCTTAAATGTTAGAGCATTGAAACTTTCAGATCTTATTCATTGTGTTGTGTTCTTTCAAAGGGTAGAAATGATACAATAAAAATCGTATAAACTAAGGAGTTACGACAGCAACGCCCTTTTTCATATGGTCTATTGAGCATACGGCGATCCACAAGTGGTTTCAGAAGTTTGTCAGGAGTGTTCCAAATAAAGAATATTAAGTCTTTTCTTTAACAATATAAGTCCTTTCTTTAACAAACAAAATATACTACTGTACAAAAAGTATACATGAATTGCGGTGTGATGGGAGGTGGGTTGGGGTGAGGTCCACCCCTACACATGTGGCTTTTTGCTGTCATAGCATTTTATGGCCTTGAACGAATTAGAAAGAAAGACTCCACAACTCTAATGTTTAATGATTGACGTGATGCAGCCTTATAGCCCTGACCGCAACTCCAGGAACTCCATTCCCTTCTTTTAGTCAAACACTAACAGTGATGTGGCTTCTTTTTGCGTTTCTCCACTGCTAATGTGAAACGTAGTGAAACGGCATCTATCAACGAGAGAGTAACGTGTCTTGGCTACTAAAGAACACAACTTGGTTGCTCAATCTGGGAATTAAGCCAAGGTTCATTTCCAATTCCATTAGGACTRSCTACATTCCTCTGTCGACATACATGWAACTATCTAAAAACGCCTATTTGAATTAACGTTTAAAAACGTATATTTCTTTGAATTCATGGTTCATTTATGACACCTGCAGCCAGCTGAGTCTATACAGAATTTAGAGTGCAATATAATATTGTTACCATTGCATTTCGAATCAGAATTTTCAACTTAATGAGATGAAAGTAAAAAAATCTCTTTTAAACTAAGGAATGATACAAACTTAAGAGAAATAAAGAAAATAACACTTTAGTAATCACCTTCCACAGTAGGACACTTCCTTGCAAGGGCATGACATCAGCTTCTGCACATTCTTGTTGGCGCATTCGTTATAGCTACACAGATATTTCGGGATGGGGAGCATATCCAGACAGATTAATAACTGTTTTGTGGCAGCTGATACTGGTCCCATAAAAGGAAGGCGTTTTTCCTCTGCATCCTCTCCCCTTGACTTCCATTCACGGGCTTGCTGCAAATTTCTATCGAACATATAAAGAAGAGCCAAATGATAGTTGCAATTTGGATATTTCTTGTCACAGACTGGTGCTTCCTGCAAATAYTCCATAAAGACCTGCTTTGATTTCTTTTTCAAAGCCTCTTGTGACCATCTCAAATAGCTATTTTCATGTACTGATTGATTTTTCTTGRGATTAGGATCTGGTTGATGCTGCTGCCCATCTAAATCAAAAACATCTTTTTCTTTTTCACTTTTGATTTTATGGCTCAAATTCATCAAGCAGKAGCCAAGGCCAGCCTTTGCCTCATAGTATGTCGRACAGCATTGCAGTGCTTTTTGAAAGGCTTGTGCTCCATCATCAAATTGCTCAGCTATTGTGTAACATGAGCCTAATAAATAATACAGTACATGCAGCCAACTGCAGTAATTTGATTCAAAGCTGTAAGGATCCTCAGTTGGTAGTTGTAAAGATTCATTCTTTCTTATCAAGTGAATTACATTTTTGACAAACATTGTCTGCTGCATATCACCTTTAAAATTTTTTAAATTGACTTTAGAACTTTCTTTTGAGTGCATGGGGCATAGTGCATGCAGAACCAGCAACCCTTCAAAAAAATTTTCATCATCCTGCAACTCTTGGAGTATCCTAACAACAATGTTAGGTAAAAAATAAGGCATCCTTCTCTCTGGCAATAATCCTAATATGGTGTTTTCATAAAGATAGCTGTGAGCTAAAAGCTTTATGGCTTCCTTGAAGTTCCCTTCTTGAAGTTTGGACATTCCTTCTTTGGCAAGTTTGAATGCTTTGAGGTAATGCTGAGCAGTTGGTGATTCTGGATATTGAGTGAACATAGATTCATGGTATATAAGTGGATTCTTTATTATAAATGGATGAGTCATATTGTGCTCTTCAACTTTTCCCTTTAATATGTCAGAAAACTGCTTGAAGTTGTCTAAGTCTTGCTTCTCTGATGATATTTTTGGAGTTGGCACTTGCTCAATGACACCTCGTTGACTAAGCTTCTCCAACCTATAACAAACATTCAATTATTTGTCAAATATTTTTAAGAAATACAATAGCCGACTTGCAAATTTTGCCTAAGTAGTCACACACAAAGTAATTAAGATGAGGCACTGTGCACAAAACTCACAGGCACCGTGGAGCATAGTTTTTATTTGGGGGGCTAAATCAGAATGGAACAACTTTCGAGAAGTGACAGTTGAATTGGATGAATGTTTTAAAAATGGCAAGCCAAAATCTCCACCCCCCCCCCCCCCCCCCCCCATTCCAAAGCAACACTGGCTCCGCTGTGCCTGGTTCAGTGAAAAGACGATATATAGCTTGTCACAACTGACTGAGCTTTACGCACAGCAACTCATCTTGATTCTTTTGTGTTTGACTACTCAGGCAATATATCAGTAGTACTTAATAATTACTGGGAGATTCAATGGGGCAAAATAAAAAGAAAATTTATCATTCCCACCCCAAATAATGGTCTTTCCCATGGATAATTTTTTGTGTATATCTTTTTCAGGAATGATGTTACATTTTGGAATCTAATTTTTATGGATAGTATCTATCTATCTCTTTTAAGTAATTAAAATTACTATTCACATTAACATTGCTTGCTAGGTTTTGTGGATTACAATAAAACTTTTGGCTAGAGCCAWGTTCATCTCTAATTAAACCTCATAATTATGTAAATTCTACTTGGACTTGACTAAAGATATGACCTCAAGACAGCTCCTACTTTGCCAAGACATTCTCAAAGTACTGTATGCATCGGTCAAATGCAAAGGGTTTCTCTGACCTAACCTCCCTCGGAGCAAAGCTACAATCCTAGACAAAACTTAATTGGACACGAACGCTATTACTGCGCTCTAGCAGATGCGCTCTCTTATGGGCTGTTTTAATGCTTACTCAAAGCCTCCCCTCCCCCCACAGTCAATGTTGTTTAACAATGTTGTTGACGGAAATGTTTTGGTATGGAAGGAGTGTTTGTTTCGAGCCCAACATTGAAAATGGGGGGCCACGGGGGGAAATTGTCAGAAGTTTTAGTAGACATACACTTTGTCCAATGAATTTTGTCCATGATTGTAGGTATGCCTTGCTATGGTCAATAATAGAATAATAACACAAAAGTAATTTTTTTTTTCCTTTTATCACACTTTATTTTTCTAAATTTGTACCTTTATTAGAAACCCTAGCACGATACTTGTATTTTATGCCTTTGCAATTTAATATCATGTSGAGCAATGAACAGGAGGAAAGACAATTTCAAGCACCAGGAAAAAAATCACTTTGATCATAAATTTTATAATTGATTGCCTACTGATAGTAAAGAATTCTAGACATTCAGTTTTAATAACTGTTGAATAATAGGAATTATGTGTGTCAAATATGTCTGTCTGTGTGAAGAGCAATTTTCTGGACCTTGACAATGGCACATTTGATGACGAATGTGTAATGCATATGGGGATTTTTAAGTCAAATGTTAATAATAAATGTTAATAATAATAAATGTTAAAAATAATAACTTTTTATCTAAAAAATAAAATASCCATGGTGCTGCTTGGGACAAAATAAATGATTTTTCTTATTTACCATGTGGTGGTTGGTCCTATCAAACCCTCAAAACAGATATTCATCTATGTGAGAAGAATATATTCTTGATGCGTGCCATACACTCGAAATGATTAAGCTTATTGAATTTTGTAAAAGATTAAGCAATTCATAAAGAGGTCAAAAAAGTGCAAAAATCAATCTAAATTGTTATTCATAATACCACAGGAAGCCCATGTATCCACTTTATGATTATCTAGTTTTAATAGCAGTCACTAACTTAAATTGCCTRAAACAGTGCAAAGCCATACCTCTTTAGCTTCACTGCTGTCATTGTTTGCAGCTTTCTTAAGCCATCGTCTTGCTTGATCTAAATCTTTTGGCAGATCATTTAAACCAGAGAGGTAGGTAAGTCCTAGTTTTGTCTGACTCTCAGCATGCCCAGTTTCTGCAGCTTTTTTAAGATAATATAGTGCTTTGACTGGCTGAGGCTTTCCTTCAGGGCACTCACCAGACATGTAGTAGTCATGTAGGCGTCGTAAYGCTTTAACCTTTGTGTCACCACCTAATGTCTTAAGTGTGCCTCTCATCATTTCCTCTACACCAGAAAGGTTTGAATCTAATGTTTCTTCAYCAGCAGCTATCTTGTACCAAGTGAAGGCTTCTTCCAAATCCTCATCCACTACTCCCTCTACACCACATCTGTATGATTCAGCTAAGTTCAATTCAGCTGGGCCGCAGCCTAGTCTAGCAGCTTTATGGTACATCTCATGTGCTTTTTGCTGGAACAGAACAGTCCCTTTCATGTCGTACAATGTTCCAAGGTTACAAAGGKCAGCTGGCATGGTATTTCCGTCTTCAATAGATGATTCTAACCACCCTCTGGCCTTGTCTAAATCTTTCTCAATGTGAAGCTCAGGAATACCTTCTTTGTAAACCATACTCAAATCAGACTTAGCTTTCCAGTTCCCAACTTGGGATGCTTGATTTTTTAGAGCTTTGATTGAGAAATAATTGTCTAGAATGTAGCCTTTTACAGTRAAGCCTTCGGATCCCATTAACTTGTTCAGAATATTATCTGAAGACGTTTGTTCGTAAACTGCCATAGTTCAGTTCTCTGCACATACTTTGTAACTTAAAGGGGTCCTTAAGTTGGGAGTACAGTAATGGTCTACTGTGTATCGTTGTCCTAACTTCGTCTCAAGGGAGACTGACAAATTAGACCTTAGATAGAATACACGCGAGAGTTTCGTGTTGTGCTTTTTTACTGCGGACTCACAGAGCAGAACAGACCCTTGCGGGATCGTATTACAAAGTCACGCAATTACATAATTAACTGGGATATCGTCACATACTGTAGAGTAAGGAGCATTCTTGCAGTTGTCTCGGATGGACAAAAGTTGTGGCTACAGCAGATATAGATGGGATACTGGATACTTCTAGTTCAGGTGACCGAGAGAGACTGTTTCCGATGATATGACTCCGATCGACGTCATTAGAATATGGCGGAGCAATTGATGTAGGTTGGAAGTCGTCCTGTTTTAGAGGTAAGTTAGAAGTCTCAGTACTTAAAAAGAACACAGATTACAACTATACAATACATCTATTCAATCAAGTACTGACTATTCTAACTTGCGTTAAACAATTTAACAATTTAACGTTAAACAATGTAACAATTTAATTTTACGAAGGGCATAAGCTTAGTGGAGCATTATAACTTATTAAGTTACTTCTAGTTGAGAGGTTTCCTGTTTTAACCTTAGTTCAAGTGCTAAAT